CTCTGCCTCCTGCCGCTGCGTCGGCGAGTGTGGTAGACGGAGAGCTCGAGCTAGCTCGAATAAAGACTCTTTTGCTTTTTGCATCGGACTCGGCTGGCTCCCTGGTGGTCTTTTGGGGATCCTGAAATCTGGGCATAACACTAGGGTCCACCCACACCATTTCCAGTGGCTTTTTCATACAATTTGCCCATCTTGGGTCATGCTGCAGAGTTTCCTAAAATCTCTCAAAAGTTCACAAACCCCAAACTAGTAGCATCTGGCTTCAGCATGCCCTGTACCTCTTGCTAAGTAACCCCAAGCCTCAGTTCATGGCACAGCTTCTCCCAGATGTTACCAAGTCCAGCACAAATGGCAACCATTTGCAAATTACTTTGAAGTTCATACCAGGTAGCCCCAGGCAGAACAAAGGCAGCTGTTGACCTTGGCTTGCACCAGAGCCTCCCCAAGATGCCCCAAAACCAACACACCCAGTAGCCAGCTTCAGACCACTCCAGAGCACCACCCAACCACTTCCACAAAGGACACATCCAAAGAGCAGACTTGCCAGGCATCAGAGCCCTACTAAAGCAAAACCAACTCTGTGAGGTCAGCCACTGCACAACAGCTGTTCTGCTATAGTCATGGCCAGTCCTTACAACTAATCAGTCTGAGGGTCAATCCCTCCCACTGACATACTAACAGCAATAAAGACTCAACTACAACAGGAGGGCACACATAACCTGTTGAGTATGTTTCCCTCCACGTCCCGCGTGGTTCAGGGTTCAGGATCTGGAAGAGGAGCCGCACACAAATGAGAGAGAAAAGAGACAAGAGACAATTTGGAAATATTGGGGAGCCAGGCGGGCAAGTCCAACTCAAGGAGAGGGACTTCCCCTGATGCTCAGGCCTCACCAAGCTTTTATTGATCTGGGGTAGCCCTTAGGTAAGGAGATTTCAATGACACACAGATTAGCTCATCAGCAGACAATTTCCAGTAATAGGCAGACTATCTTATCAATAAGGATTTACATGAGTATCTAAGGAATTAAATGAATTAAGGTGGGGAGGATGCTTCAGCTACCATTATCTAGATTAACTGGGTGGTGCACAGCTCCAACCTTTGCTAGGGCTTCAAAGGTCACCAGCTTTTGGGGGTCTCTACTCTTCTCTGCTAGTGAAGACGATAGGTGATCTCCGACAATAACCCACACAAGGGACATACCTGGAGCACCCTGCTCAGGTGACCAGGGAGACTGTGCCTCTGGGCCCCACTACATAAGGCCACTCTACTAAGACCGGGAGATATAGCAGCTCTACATAATACATAGGAATAAAAACAGGGAGGTAGCCAAAATGATAAGACTAATATGTCCCAAATAAAAGAATAGGACAAAACTCCAGAAAAAGAACTAAATAAAATGGAGACAAGCAATCTATCAGATGCAGAGTTCAAAACACTGGTTATAAGGTTGCTCACTGAATTCAGTGAGAACTTTAACAAAGAGATAAGAAACATAAAAAAGAGAACGCCTTAGCTGGTTTGGTTCAGTGGATAAGAGTGTCAGCCTGCAGACTGAAGGGTCCCAGGTTTGATTTTGGTCAAGGGCACATGCCCAGGTTGTGGGCTTAATCCCCAGTAGGGGGCGTGCTGCAGGAGGATGACCAATGATTCTCTCTCATCATTGATGTTTCTCTCTTTCCCTCTCCCTTCCTCTCTGAAATCAATAAAAATATAAAAAAAAGAAAAAAGAGAAGGATAGAAAACATAAAAAGGAACCAGTCAGAAATGAAGAATACAATAACTAAAATGATGACTACATTAGAGGGAATCAACAACAATAAATTAGATAAAACAGTATTGAATCTGCAATTTGGAAGGGAAGGTAGCAGAAACCATCCAATGAAAACAGCAAAAAGAAAAAGAATCCCCCAAAATGAGGATAATTTAAGGGGCCTCTGGGACAACATCAAGCATACCGACATTTGCATCATAGGGTACCAGAAAGAGAAGAGAAAGAGCAAGGAATTAAAAACTTATTTGAAGAAATAATGACAGAAAACTTTCCCTACCTGGTGAAAGAAATAGACTTACAAGTCCAGGAAGCGCAGAGAACCCCAAACAGAAGAAATC